ATGGCAACGTTGGGCCAATGTTGCGCCAACGATCGGGTAACGTCGAGCCAACGTCGGGGTGACGTCGGGCCAACGTCGGGGTGACGTCGAGCCAACGTTACCGCGACGTTGCGCCAACGTTTGCGCCAACGTTGGCATTCAGGAAGCCTCTTGTTCAGGGGGGCCCTGCCGCTACCCTTGGCTTTTTACTTAAAGCGGTGTTGTTCTTCACAGCAAGGCCCGCGTGCCATTGGCGGCCCCCTGGTGGCCTTTAATGCGGCCCCTGGCATGCGGCCCCCCACCGACAACACGCAAAGAGTGGTAACACCACCCCCAACATCATCGCTGTGTTGATGTCAAACCCACAATGGTTTCGAACGCGTGGCGGCCCTCGCTAACCGACCGATGATGTCTTATCGGCAAAAGTGTCCCCCCGCCTCCAACGTTCTCTGAAAATTATTGCTTCAAGAAGTGTTCGGTCGATTAATGATGACTTCGTTTTTGTTGTTGTTGTTATTATTATTAACCGGGACACACGGAGAAAGCCCCACGCATTGCGCGAGGGGGACAACGATCTATCCCCGTACCGACGGAAACAGACGGCGATGAGTCCACTTTTGGCTGCTGGCCATCGAACAGAGACGGTGTCTCACCGGATCGCGCGGCGCCTTCAGATGCGCTTCTGCGGCCGTCTGGAACGCTCTTTCCTGCCCAATATTAGGAAGCCCACATGGAGCTGTGCGCTTTTAAATAATCAAAATTGAATTCGCATTTATTTAGAACTGCTTGTGGTGTTTAGTTTGTTGTCCTTCCCCCGCACCTCAAATTAGCACGGTTGGCTACGTACGGTGCGAAAGAAGTTCATGACGTAGATGGCATGAACAGAGAAGCATTCTCACTGTGTATACATCGAGTCTACGTTTCTGTGCGAGTCTATGGGTCTCTGTGTGAGTCTGTGTGTCTCTATGTAAATATATGGATCTGTGTGCGAGTCTATGTCTCTCTGTGTGAGTCTATGGATCTGTGCGAGTCTGTGTCTCTGTGTAAATCTACGTCTGTCTGTATGAGTCTATGTCTCTCTGTGTAAGTCTACGTCTCTTTATGTGAGTATATGCCTCTCTGTGTGAGTCTATGGGTCTCTGTGTGAGTCTACGTCTCTCTGTGCGAGTATATGTCTCTCTGTGTGAGTCTATGGGTCTCTGTGTGAGTCTACGTCTCTCTGTGTGAGTATATGTCTCTCTGTGTAAATCTATGTCTCTCTGTGTGAGTCTATGGATCTCTGTGTGAGTCTATGGATCTCTGTGTGAGTCTGTCTCTCTGTGTGAGCCTATGGATCTCTGTGCGAGTCTATGGATCTCTGTGTGAGTCTATGGGTCTGTGTATGGGTCTATGTCTCTCTGTGTGAGTCTATGGATCTCTGTGTGAGTCTATGGATCTCTGTGTGAGTCTATGGATCTCTGTGTGAGTCTATGGGTCTCTGTGTGGGTCTATGGATCTCTGTGTGAGTCTATGGATCTCTGTGTGAGTCTGTGTGTCTCTGTGTGAACGTATCTACCATCGAACAAAGACGGTCACCGCATCGCGCGCTTCCAGATGCGCTTCTGCGGCCGTCTGGAACGCTCCTCCTTCCGCTATTAGAAAACCCGCTGAAGCTGTGCACTTTTAAATCCTCGTCTATATTGACAACTCACTTTTTAAAACTGCTTGTTGTGCTTAGTTTGTTGCTCTTTTCCTTGCACCTCCGATTAGCACGGTTGGCTACGTACGGCGCGAAAGAAGTTCAACATACATGCACTGCTGTACTGCCCCTTCTCATGGAGATCCAGGGTATAGCACCTCCTCGACACCCGTTTTAAGCTTAAAAACCGAACAATTTTTAGTTTATTTTACTAGGTAAGACCAACTGGACTATATCGCTCTTTTTCGGAAGCAACCTGGCCACAAGTGACAGCCCAATAGAGTGGATTACCATCGAGTGGAAATTCATAGCGGTCAAAAACTCTAAACGCGTGATGCTGATACTAAACGTGGAGGGGAAAACCCGGGGGACCTGGAGAAGAATCCACGTGACACGCAAACTTCAAAAGCAGGCATCGTCAGGGTCGGGATCGAACCCACGACGTCCCAGGAGAGGTAGTTAACATCTCCCAGCCACCATGATGATGATGTTTCGATTTAAAGCTTTCGTGACTGCAATGATTCATCTTCTTTGGTTCTTTCGGTAAAGTCACGTAGAATGAGAATAAAATAATAAATTGATAAAATAAAATAACACAATATTCTCACGACGTTTCGGCCACAACACAAGCGGCCTTCATCAGGTGAAGGGGCGAGACTGTCTGGTAGGACAATCCTACCAGACAGGACAATCCTACCAGACAGTCTCGCCCCTTCACCTGATGAAGGCCGCTTGTGTTGTGGCCGAAACGTCGTTAGAATATTATTGTGTTATTTTATTTTATCAATTTATTATTTTATTCTCATTCTACGTGACTTTACCGAAAGAACCAATGAAGATGATGATGATGATGAGAGAGAGACACGCAAACTCCAAATATACAGCAGGCGTCAGGGTCGGAATCGACCCCACGACCTCCTGTATACCAGGCGAGGTAGTTAACATCTCCTAGCCACGGTGGAGCCCACGGGGGGGTGGGGGTTTGGGGGGAGGGCGGGGGGGGGTTTGGGGCAAATCATCTGTGTGCGGCGATCCACCGACCCTCGCTGCTACCTCCAGAGCAATGCACGATGACTTTATTATTACAAAGGCGTGCGCCACGCGCTTACCCCCCCCCCCCCCCCCCCCACGTGTGTGTTGAACTTCGTTCGCACCATACGTAGCCAACCGCGATAATCGTAGGCGCGGGGGGGGGGGAAAACTCAACAGCAAAAAAAAGCAAATCTTGAAGTAATCCAACACCGCCGAGACCCATCTCGCCTGGGACGCTTTGCGGACGCCCTCCTGCCCGCCCGCCCGCACGCCACCACGGCGGCGGCGGTGGTGGTGGTGGTGCTGGCGGAACGCTCAGCGGGGCACGGCTTGGACGTCGCGATCCAGCGGTCGCCGGCTCCCTTCCAACCTGCCGCGGTGCGCCGCGAGTCGGCGTCGTCGCGAGCCCCCGGCGGCGGCCACGGAGATCCGCCGACTCGCGTCAACGCGGGGTCCACCCACGGCCCCGCGTTGATAGCAGCGGCGGCTCTGGAGTGTGCAGGCGGTGCGACTGTGCCGGGCTCCCCATCGCCTCTCCAGAGGCCCGGTGCTGGGTGAGGGTGGGGGGGCATTCCATTCCGTACCCCGGGGCTCATGCCAACCACCCTACACTGGTCTCTGAGTCGGTGAGTCTCTATGCGAGTCGCGGGTCTCTATACCAGTGTTATCTCGAGCCTACATGTCTCTATGCGAGTCAGCGAGTCTGCGGGTCTCTATGCGAATCGGGGGTCTCTATGCGAGTCTATGGGTCTCTACGTGAGTCTATGGGCCTCTATGCGAATCGGGGGTCTCTATGTGAGTCTATGGGACTTTATGCAAGTCTATGAGTCTCTGTGAGTCTATGGGTCTCTATGCGAGTCTATGGGTCCTATGCGAGTCGGGGGTCTCTATGTGAGTCTATGGGCCTCTATGCGAATCGGGGGTCTCTATGTGAGTCTATGGGACTTTATGCAAGTCTATGAGTCTCTGTGAGTCTATGGGTCTCTATGCGAGTCTATGGGTCTCTATGTGATGCTATGGGTCTCTATGCGAGTCTATGGGTCTCTATGTGAGTCTATGGGTCTCTATGTGATCCTATGGGTCTCTATGTGATCCTATGGGTCTTTATATCAGTCAACGGGTCTCTATGCTCGTTTCCGAGTCACACGCATCCCGCATTCGTCGCGCGGAGCGGCAGCCGCAGGAAGGAGGAGGCCCTCTCCGTCGCCTCCGTTTCTTATAAACTTTTATTTCGTTGCGCACGTGCGGCACGGCTCGCGTCAATCCACACACTCGGCTGCAGAACGATCGGAGTTTGTCGGAGAGAGAACCCAACGGACACAACAAGAACTAAAGCGCCGGCATCGTCATCGTCGTCATCGCCAGCGACCGCACACAACCAAACAACAAAAACCCGCCACCTTTTATATTAGAGAATTTTTGTTTTTGAGTGTGGGCAGATTGGGGGGGGGGGGGGGTGGCCTTTGATTGCCACTCGAAATCTATTTCTCTGTAGCCGGCTGTGTGTGGGGAGTTCGGAACAAACCCTCCTCATCCCCCCCCGCCCCCACCCCCACCCAGGTCACTTGGAAGGGATTTCAGAAGTAGTTCTTTGGCGTCATCTTCCGCGGGTCGTCCCGACGGCAGCGCTCCACGGCGCGCGCCTCGATCTTTCGCAGGAACGCCGAAGCGAAGCGAGACTGCGTGCGGGCGGGACCTGAGAAGGGCCGCCGAGGTGGGGGGCCGTGGCGCGCGCGCGTGCACACAGACTCACGCGCACGGACTCACGCGCACGGACTCACGCACACAGACTCACGCACACGGACTCACGCACACAGACTCACGCACACAGACTCACGCGCACAGACTCACGCGCACAGACTCACGCGCACAGACTCACGCACACGGACTCACGCGCACAGACTCACGCGCACGGACTCACGCACGGACTCACGCACACGGACTCACGCCCACGCACACGGACTCACGCGCACAGACTCACGCGCACGGACTCACGCACGGACTCACGCACACGGACTCACGCCCACGCACACGGACTCACGCACACAGACTCACGCACACGGACTCACGCACACGGACTCACGCACACGGACTCACGCACGGACTCACGCACACGGACTCACGCCCACGCACACGGACTCACGCACACAGACTCACGCACACGGACTCACGCACACGGACTCACGCACACGCGACCGACGGAGGGGACGAGAGGCAGCGGCCGGATCGGCCACTGAACGGCACGGGCGAAGCACGACGCGACGCCGACAGCACGACCGCCGACGCGGAGAAATTGCGTTTATTTCATTTGTTTTTTTTTGCCTCCGAACGTCACGCGCGTACTTTTGTTTAGATGCCGAAGACGTCCAGCCGTCTTGATTGAGCAGAAGCGTTCTAGACTGGCTGCCTTCAAACGTTTTCACGGGGGCTGGGGGCTGGGGGTAGGGGGGGTGCAGGCTGCGGCATGGATACCGTGCAGGAGGTTCAGGAGCGCAACGCTGCGACGACACGAAGCACGACCACGACATCGAATGTTGACAGTCACGTGAGAGGCTAACGCAGCTGCGGATACACATAGGGGTGGAGGGAAGTGGGGGGGGGGGGCGATCACCTCTGTTTGAAAACCCAGGGAAATTGGTATTTTATTTATATTTACCGGAGAAAAAAAAACATCGCGTTTTTTTTATTATAATATAGTGGGGGTGCCCTTTAACAAAATCTGGACATTTGGAGACCGCGCCCCCCCCCCCGCCCCCCAGATCCGCCTCTGGAGCATCGAGAGAGCGCAACACCGGCAGGTCCTTCCTTCCGGCTCGTCGGCACCGGGGCGACCGGTTAAGTTGTACAGCTCGGTCGCACGCAACCGGTCGCGTGCAACCGGTCGCGCGCAACCGGTCGCACGCAACCGGTCGCACGCAACCGGTCGCACGCAACCGGTCGCACGCAACCGGCCGCGAGTGTTGTCAGGTTGCAAGTCGCGCGCAGCCACTCCCTCGGATGTGGGACAAAGCGGCAGGTTGAGGGCGACGGTTGGAGATTAAAGAGATCGCGCGCGATGCGCGTGTTTTTGTATTGTTTGTTGTTGTTAAAAAGGTTCTGACTCCTCATCGGATTCCTCCGGTATATATATAAATATTCTAACGATTGCCCAGGTGCGGAACGGGCTGAGGGTCACGGCCACCTCATTGCGCCGGAGACTCAAACCCTGGACAGATTTCTCCGTCGGCACTCGGTCCATTACGGAGAGCGTGCGGTTCCACTGCACTAAAGCTCAAAGCAATAATGCGGTCAAGAGTTGCCAAACCTCGGAGCGTCCGGGTCAAATCTGGGCAGGTGGCAATCCCTAGCGCAGTGGTTCTCCTTAACCTGGGGATGCAAGCAGCCCCAGGTGGTGCGAGAGATGCCCTTTCAGGGGGTAGCGAGACGTGGCCAGATTTTTTTTATAAGGTAAATAATCGAAAACACAAATTAAGCACGGGAAACGTAAGTGACAACTTGTTTCGTTTCATCAAACCCCTATGTATTTATTAACATTGTACATTTTTTTTTTACGACTGAGAACCCAAGGGTTGCAGTAAAGGTTCAGAAGCACCACCCTCGTGGATGGGTGAGTGGGTGAGGGGTACTGAGTGACTTCGGCAAATGCAACGAGTGACTCGATGAGGGGTGGGGGAGGTGAATGAGTGGGTGAATATATGAGCGAGCGAGCGGTGCACATTTGGCCGACTTTTTCCCGCTGCGGACCAAACCCCGAACGCAATTTCGCAGTCAGCGCTCGATCTATAAAAGCAGTGCGCCCAGCACGCACACCGCAGAAAAGTTCAGCACGGCAACACCGGTACCAGATCTCGGTTAGAGGGCATCAATTGCTTGCCACGGGTGCCAACTGCCAGCCTGTTACCGCTGGCTCCTACCCCCGATGAGGGTGGCAACTATATTCGGCGCGAATGGACAAAAACAAAATCAAACCGGGCCTTGCGTCGTCATCGTCATCATCATCATCATCTCCGCCGTCAATGTTCACTCACTTAAAAATATCACGCAAAGTCCAATTAACTAAGAGGTGGAAAATAGCGGTGCTTTCTAGCAACTCGCACGCCCGTCATGAGCACAGGAAGCAGGTTATGGTCATGAAATCGCCGATATCCGACTCAAAAAAAACAACAACATCAATGGCGAAAAAAAGAAACGGGGAAATGCGAGAGAGGGGGCGTCGTGCGATGTGAATCGTGGACGAGTGTTTTATGTACAGCTAGGCCGAGACCCGTCCCCCGGAAGACACAGGGGATGCCCGATGCTTCTAGTAATCGTCCGCTGCGAGACAAAACGGGCGGGCAAGAGAAGGCGGACGGACGGTCGAGACGAACACGGAGGAACGGAGGGAGGCAGAGAGAGAAAGGTGACACAGAGAGAGAAAATGACAGAGAGAGAGAGAGGCAGACGAGCAGAGACAGAGAGACAGGGATAGAGAGAGATAAACACGAAGAAGAGAGAGAGAGAAAGGGGCACAATAGGGACAGACAAACAGAGGGGAACAGAGAGGAAGAGGCGGGGACAGGCAGAAGAAAAGGTTAAAAGCATTGCAATGAATTCAGACAGCAGTGCATCACAGTGCGGGCAAGGATACAACGCGTGTGAGAAGATAAGCAAGCAGAAGATGAAGTCGTGCGTAAGTTGGACCAATAACAACAACAACAACCACAGTTCACTGCGTTGACGTCACCACGGCGCTTGTGCCACGCTAGGTGCACTTTGTGCCAAGAAGACGCCCGGACACCAGCGTTTCCAAAATCCCAGTTCTCGTGACCTGCTCGCTACCACCTTGACACGTTTACCAACCTGCCCCAGTTCAAGTGTGAACTGAAATCGTTATACGCGCTTTACTTGCCTGATGATTGGTGAACCCGTCACGTGTGGCCTACAGAGGGCACCGATCGGATAAAAAAAAAATGAACGTGTCCCACGCAACAGGACCAATTAAAATCTGAATAGGAACCGTGTCTGTGTGTGTGTACAGGGTGTGGGGAGCGGTAGTGTAGTGGCTAGCGCACTGCCAGTACACGCCCAGCCACCCGAGTTCGATTCCCACTCGCGGACAACACCGGCGACGATCATCCGAACCGTCGCGGACCTCCCCTAATTCGAGCACCTGGTGTGGTGTGTAAATAACATCGCCACTGGGGAGACAAAGGTGGCCGGGCACGGTGTTGGCCACCCACCACCTTCGTGTGCCGTGCCGGCTTTAATTTCGGTGCGCGCTAACGCCACCCGCCCCAACAGTCTGTTTCAGGCTATACGGGAGATCTTTGTCTTCGTGCCCGCATGGAGAATTTGGAAAATCTATCAGTCGCCGCCGCGATGGTTCGATTCGAGCGGCCACCCTGGTAAATCCTGCGGTGCGCATTAATTGCAGCGATGACACGGAGAGCGACGTCCGCTTCGCCCGAACGTCACTGGCGAAGAGTAAGGCCCCCGGGCTGTGCGTGCCACCGGCGATCAGGGGTTCTCCAAAACAAAACAAAAAAAGTCGCCGAATTTTAACAACGTCAACTCGCAGATTTATTTTTATCGCCTGGGACTAACAAACACACAGAAATCATCACCCCGCCCTCCGCCCCTTACCGAGAAAGCTTGTGGGGCAAGACCCATCGAGAGGCGACGAGTGGTAAGACTCAGCGGGTAAACAAAGTGTGGTCGTAGTAGTAGTAGTAATACTAATAATAATAAGACACGTTCATCAGGGGGGGTGCAACGCCTCGATTTATATTTGAGCGGAGAAAAGCCGGCAAACGCAGGATAGACGGACCGCGTTGATCCGCAGGGACACTTAGTATTACGGCACCATCACGCGAGTCCACGAAGTAGAGATCGCCCACCTTTTTCACTGCTTTCGTATCACTCGTCTAACATCCTGCTATATATATAATATAAAGAAACACAACAAAGGCGAATGCAAATTCAGCGAGCGCTTAATCTTTTTTTTGTTTTATAAACGCAAGCGCGGAAGCAGCTCCGGTGCCGATTGCTGCCACAAGGCGGTTTTGCAAAGACAATTTTTTTTTTATTGTCAGAAAAGGTGCGATTTTTAGGCCCTGCTATCCTGTAAGAATCCTTATATGGGTGCTCGTGTGTGTGGGTCTGTGTATGTATGCCGGGCATGGTGCTGGCCAACCACCCCATCGTGTGCCGTGCCAGCCTTGTATTTATGTATGTAGTACTTCTTTCACACCGTACGTAGCCAACCGTGCTAATCGGAGGTGCTCGTTAACAGCACTTGCCCCAAAAGTCTGTGAATGCGATACGGGGGTATCATCTTTACCTGTGTGTGTGCACGTGTGTGTGTGCACGTGTGTGTGCGTGTGCACGTGTGTGTGTGCACGTGTGTGTGCGTGTGCACGTGTGTGTGTGCACGTGTATGTGTGCACGTGTGTGCATTATTTGTGCACGTGTATGTGTGCACGTGTGTGCATTATTTGTGCACGTGTGAGCGTGTGTGTGTGTGCAGGTGTGTGTGTGCACGTGTGTGCAGGTGTGTGTGTGCACGTGTGTGCAGGTGTGTGTGTGCACGTGTGTGCAGGTGTGTGTGTGCAGGTGTGTGTGTGCAGGTGTGTGTGTGCACGTGTGTGCACGTGTGTGCACGTGTGTGCACGTGTGTGCACGTGTGTGCACGTGTGTGCACGTGTGTGCACGTGTGTGCACGTGTGTGTGTGTGCACGTGTGTGTGTGTGCACGTGTGTGTGCACGTGTGTGCACGTGTGTGCACGTGTGTGCACGTGTGCGCATGTGTGTGTGCGCATGTGTGTGTGCGCATGTGTGTGTGCGCATGTGTGTGTGCGCATGTGTGTGTGCGCATGTGTGTGTGCGCATGTGTGTGTGCGCATGTGTGTGTGCGCATGTGTGTGTGCGCATGTGTGTGTGCGCATGTGTGTGTGCGCATGTGTGTGTGCGCATGTGTGTGTGCGCATGTGTGTGTGCGCATGTGTGTGTGCGCATGTGTGTGTGCGCATGTGTGTGTGCGCATGTGTGTGTGCGCATGTGTGTGTGCGCATGTGTGTGTGCGCATGTGTGTGTGCGCATGTGTGTGTGCGCATGTGTGTGTGCGCATGTGTGTGTGCGCATGTGTGTGTGCGCATGTGTGTGTGCGCGTGCACGTGTGTGCACGTGCACGTGTGTGCACGTGCACGTGTGTGCACGTGCACGTGTGTGCACGTGTGTGCGTGTGTGTGCACGTGTGTGTGCGCACGTGTGCATGTGTGCGCATGTGTGTGTGCGCATGTGTGTGTGCGCGTGCACGGGTGTGTGTGCACGTGTGTGTGTGTGTGCACGTGTGTGCATGTTTGTGCAAGTGTGAGCGTGTGTGCACGTGTGTGCGTGTGTGCACGTGTGTGTGTGTGCGTGTGCGTGTGTGCATGTGTGTGTGTGCGTGTGTGCGTGCGTGGAGCAGTAGTGCAGCGGTTAGTGCCCTGTGCTACGAACCCGGTGACCCGAGTTCAATTCCCACTCATGGCCACCAATACCAGTGACGATTATCTGAACAGTTCCTGGGCCTCCCCTAGGTCGACTCAACCTCAAATGAGCACCTGGTGCGGCGTGTAAACAATCCCCCACTGGGGAGACAAAGGCGGCCGGGCGTAGTGCTGGCCACCCACCCCCTCCGTGTGCCGTGCCGGCCTTCTTAGGTGATACACTAACAACACTCGCCCCAAAAGTCTGATATGGCTATACGGGGGATCTTTATCTCGTCTTTGTTGTATGCACGTGTATGCATAGTACCTGCGTGTGTGCGTGTGCGTGCGTACGCATGCAAGCGCGGGTATACATCTAAAATCCCAACTTGCCCACCCTTCCCCTCCCCCCCCCCCGCTCCCCGCTCACCACGACGCGTCCATCTTCCCGCAGAAGCGAACGTAAAACAAAACCCTCTACAAGTGCTCCGTGCAACGCTTGGCGTGCCACCCCGCGCCACCCGCCTCTCCGTTCCCACCGCCGCCCTCGCCGCCATCTCCTTCCCCGTCCGCCCATTTGTCTGCGCCCACATCAACATCTACCCGGTCTCCATCACCGCGGCCGCCGACACCGCCATCATCATCATCGTCGTCGTCGTCGTCAGCGACGTAACGCCCACCACCGCCGCCGCCACCCTCGCCACCTTCCCCTTCCGCCACCGCCACGGCCGCCAGCGCTCCGGCCTTACTCTCGATCGTGAGGATGCAGGTGCTGGCTGCGGAGCCCTTGGGGCTCACGGCCTTGCACATGTACTCCCCCTCGTCGTCCGGGAAGGTCTCGGGCAGGTAGAGGCAGTAGGTGTCCTCGCCGCGCACCACGTACTGGTACTCCTCGCCGTCCTCGAGCGGCTCGCCCTCGAACCACCACGTCACCTCGGGGCGCGGCGAGCCCACGATCCGCACCAGGAACCGCACCGGCTCGCCGTCGACCACCTGCTCCTCGGTGGGCGAGGGAGGGAGGGTGAAGGGGTGGAGGGGGACGGTCAGATAGCAGGTCGAAGAGGGATAGGGAAAACGGGGGGCATCAGAGGGTTGAATGAATGAGCGAGCGAGTGGGAGACCTGACGAGTGAGTGAGCGAGTCGGTGACCTGACGAGTGAGTGAGTGACCTGACGAGTGAGTGAGTGAGTAAGTGAGCGAGCGAGCGAGCGGGTGACCTGACGAGTGAGTGAGTGAGTAAGTGAGCGAGCGAGCGAGCGAGTGAGTGAGTGAGCGAGCGAGCGAGCGGGTGACCTGACGAGTGAGTGAGTGAGTAAGTGAGCGAGCGAGCGAGTGAGTGAGTGAGTGAGTGAGCGAGCGAGCGAGCGAGCGGGTGACCTGACGAGTGAGTGAGTGGGTGACCTGACGAGTAAGTGAGTGAGCGAGTGAGTGAGTGAGAGAGTGAGTGAGCGAGCGGGTGACCTGGTGAGTGAGTGGGTGAGTGGGTGACCTGACGAGTGGGTGACCTGACGAGTGAGTGAGTGAGTGAGCGAGCGAGTGGGTGACCTAATGAGGGAGTGAGGGAGTGGGGGGGAGGGGTGACTGGGTGGCTCAGAGGTCAGAGCCGGGTTCCGTCTGCCTCGAGTCGCGAACCCTCACCTGTGTGTTCTTGAGGGGTCGCTTGAACCAGGGGGCCCCGGAGCGCGTCAGCTCGTCGTCGTCGTTGACCACCGGCCCGTTGAGGCCCATTCCATTCGGGGTCCCGTCCTCCTCCTCGCCTTCTTTCGGCTGCGGGCAAATGCAAGAATTTAGAGGCTAAGAAAAAAACAACAACGTCAACTTGGAACGGCGCCGCCGACGCCCCTCTCGAGCGGGTAACTTGGCCTGCTCTTCCACGCTGGTGGGACCGTCTCGGAGGAGGCGGCGAGCACCCACGCTCTGCCCCACACCGCTCGCCGCCTCCCAAGACGGCGAGCCGTGCCGCGCGAGGTTGGTCGCCGCGGACGCGCGCGTCATTGTGCCGCAGTCCACCGCTCGCGTTTACCGCCCGACCGGCATTTCTCGCTCTTGGTCCGTGAGAGGGCTCAAAACCGGATGTGTACGTGGCGGGAAAAAAAAAAACCACAAAATTAATTCGTCAATAATGAAGTGCTATGAAGAAGGGCTATTTCCCGAAACGTCGCAGATATAACTAAAGATATTTATTTTTCCCCACACATGGGCACGTGCGATGTTATTTACGAACGTTGTGTGGGCGGTGCCACAGCAGTGAAATGTTAACTACCTCGACTGATAACGCAGGAGGGTCTTGGGTTCGATCCCGACCCCGATGCCTGTTGTGTATTTGGAGTTTGTGCGTCTCTCTCACCGTGGTCGTGTGGATTTTTTAACGTCACGTGTTCAGAATATTTGGCTGCTTCTGCACATTTCCACGTGATGATGATAAACCACTTGTCGTTGACCTATCATTTGCAATTGCCAGGTCGCTTCTGAAAGAGAGCACGCAGCTCAGCGAGGCCTTACCCGGTTAAATAAAAATAGTAAAGAGTAAAATATCATATTCTTAGTTCTTTGGGTAAAGTCACGTTGAAGAGAAACAACAAAATAATAATATATATAAAACAATAAAAAAATCTCACGACGTTTCGACCATAACACAAACGGTCGTCTTCAGGTGTGTTGGTTTGCATAAATTTATTTGTAAACGGTGCATTTATTTATTTATAAAAAACGTTAGCGCCACGCGCAGCGATTTGGCAGTTTATTTAGGACTAGTCCATCTATATTCTGAAAAGAGGAGGGGGGAGACGAATTTTTTTTTTATAATGTATGCTGTCTGAAAGCCACTGTAAGCGTGAACAATCAATTAAGACCCGAAATGGTTTATCAACGTGACTTTACCGAAAGAACTAAGAATATGAATTACTGCAGTCACGAAAGCTTTAAATCAAAAGTAAAATATCAATCGGCTCTCACTCAGCCGCGTAAATAAATCGGCACTACGACACCTTTGCCACCTTGCACCTTGCGTCTGGCACAAGGGCTATCAGGGCCATCTGTACCCCTGCGCCACCCTCCCACGCCCCCACGCCCTCCCCCCCGCGGTACGAACCGACAGTGACGCCGCGTCGATCTCCTGCTGCTCGAAGCGCATGCGCTGCATCTTCTGCTCGTCCACCCTGCGGCGAGCCTCCTCCTCCCGCGCCAGCGCCATCTCGGCGAAGCGAGCCTTCATGTCGGCGCGGCGTGCGCACGGCGCCTCCACCGTCCGCACTGGGTGAGACACCTCCTCCTCCTGGGCGGGCGGGCGGGCGGTGAACGAACGCGGGCTCCCGGTTACGCGATGCATTGTCGTCCAAGTCGTCGTGTTTTATGATTACCAGCGCTCGTTTGCCCGTGAAGGCCTCGCGTCTCTCCTTCGCAGCAGGATTTTTGCGTTAGTGGAGCGGACGACGGTCGGTGCCAAACGCCGCGAGTGACCAAATGGGCGAGGACGCGGACGAGCGGGCGAGCGAACGAGCGAATAGGTTGGCGAGCAGGTGAGTCAGAGCTGCCGAGTTACGGAACAAACGGTCGACCGATCGAGCGAGCGTGTGAGCGAGCGTGTGAGCGAGCATGTGAGTGAGCGTGTGAGCGAGCGAGCGAACGTGTGAGTGAGCGTGTGAGCGAGCATGTGAGCGAGCGTGTAAGTGAGTGAGCGAGCGTGTGAGCGAGCGTGTGAGCGAGCGAGCGAGCGTGTGAGCGAGCGAGCGTGTGAGCGAGCGCGAGAATGAATGAGCTAGCGAGAGAGTGAATGAGCGAGCAAGCGAGCCTAATAGCTAGGCGAGCAGGTGAGTCAATGAGTTAGGGAACATACAATCGAGCGTACGAACGAGCCAAGGGTTTGGCACAAGCGTGTCAGCGGGTCAATGAACTAGCGAGCGAGCGTGCGAGTGAATGAGCGAGCGAGCGAGCGAGCTTAATTAGGTGGGCGAGCGAGTAAGTCAAGCAGCTGCTGAGAGAACAAAACGAGCGAACGAGGGAGCGAGCGAACGCGCCACCGGTTCGGCGCAAGCACCGTCATCGGGTCGGCAAACCAACGAGCGAGCACGAGAGCGAGCACGAGAGCGAGCACGAGAGCGAGCGAGCGGCCCTCGCACCAGCGTGAAGTCCTGCGCCTCCAGGTCATGCCGCTCCTGCTCCAGGGCCTGCCGACGTGCGCGCTCCTCAGCGATCTTGCGCCGGATCTCCTCGCCCGAGAGCTGCTCCATCTGCTCGAACTTGGACTTGAGGCTCTTGGCCTTGATGGTGCCCGTCCTCTTGAGGGTCTTGATCTCCTCGTACTCCTTGCTCACCGTCTCCGAGCTCTCGTTCACCTCGTCCTGAAGGTCACACGCAGGGGGGTTGCACGGCTCGATTAACGAGCCGGCGAATTTACCTTCCCTGCTCCCCACCCCCACCCGCCCGCCCGCCCCCACCCCCCGTCGCTCTCATGCGACTCCCGATGTCAGAATCAGAATATATAATTATAGTCGAGGAATCCGATGAGCTGTGAAGCTTTTTCACCGATGTAACCAGCAGGGGCGGGTCAAAGGTCACCGAAAAACGAAAACTCTTAATACACGGAGTGCAAATAAAACTACTAATTTCTTTCTTACCCATAAAAGTATAGGTCAACAAAGTGGAAATTTGCATCATCAAATCACTCTAAATTATCTCAATGCGTGTTTCCAAATGTGGAGAGAAAAACCGGAGAACCCGGAGAAAAAAATCCACGCCGCCACGGGCAGACGGACACGCAAACTCAATTTATAGGCGTCAGGGTCGGCATAGAAACAAACGACCTCCGGCATACTGGGCGAAGGAGTTAACATCTCGCCACCGCGTCCCACTCTTGCACGCGGTTAGCTGTATGTTGAACTTCTTTCGCACCGTACATAGCCACCTGCGTTAATCGCACGTGTGGGGGGGGCACGGGGGCGGGGGACGGACAACACGAGCATTCACGTTCCCGACAGGAGTTTCACCGTCCGTGGCCGACGCCGGTGACGGGAGGCATATCAGGCGCAGCGAAGTACGGTCGAATGTCCCCTGGCTGTGGAGAATCAGCGCGAATCGCCAGCCTTCCTCCCCACCCCCTGCCCCCGATATTCCCGTGATCGCGTGGATTTTTCTCCGGGCCCTCCGGCTTTTACCTCCACATTTGGGATGAACATCACGCGTTTGGCCGCTGCTATAAATTTCCACACGATGATGACGATGATGATGATAAGCCAATTTCGTTGCGCTACCCATTTGCGATTGTGAAAAAGAACTGCGCGCAAGCCTCGCCGAGCCTCAGGTCTCGTTTTCAAGAGGGTCACCCCCTGCTCCACTGGTGGGCGAGATCTCCGATTTGCCGCTGCACGTGGGAGAGAAACCCCGGAGTGAAAGGGCCATCTCTCGCAAAAGGAGGGCGACAAACTCAAAAGGTCACTGCCCTCTCCTGGCCGCTACCACCACCAGACTTTTTAGTTTTTTTTACAGAAACGAAACTCCAGAGGACGACCCACCGGCTCCATGTGCTGCTTCTCCTCTTCCATGGCCCTCTTCTCCTCCTCCAGCTTGACGCGGCGATCCTCGTCGTGCTGCCGCGCCTCCTCCTCCTGCTTGAGCCGCAGCAGCTCCTCGAAGTTGATCTCCAGCCGCCCGGGCCCCAGCGAGTCGCTGGAGCCGCTCGTGCCACGCCGCAGCTCCTGGGCGTCCTCGTCGTCCAGCGCCTGGAGCGCACGCAGCGCGGCGCCAACAGCGTCACGGGGACGTCGTCGCCGTGGTCACGGTCGCCGTGGTCACGGTCGCCGTGGTCACGGTCGCCGTGGTCACGGTCGCCGTGGTCACGGTCGCCGTGGTCACGGTCGCCGTGGTCACGGTCGCCGTGGTCACGGTCGCCGTGGTCACGGTCGCCGTGGTCACGGTCGCCGTGGTCACGGTCGCCGTGGTCACGGTCGCCGTGGTCACGGTCATCGTCACGAGCGCCAACGTCACGGTCATCGCGGTCACGGTCGCCGTGGTCACGGTCGCCGTGGTCACAGTCATCGTCACGGTCATCGTCACGAGCGCAACGTGGTCACGGTCATCGCGTGGTCACGGTCATCGTCTTCGTCACGGTCGCCACCGTCACGGCACTCCTGCTAACATCGCTGCCGATACGTCGACTGCTGCCCCGCGCTCCCCCCCTCGTCACCCCCTGTGCCCCCCACCTCACCATGCTGCGCCGAGCCTCGACGAAGCTCCTCTTCTCCTCGTCCAGGCGGCGGCGCGCCTCCTCCTCGGCCTTCCGCGTCTCCTCCTCCTGGCGCCGTCGCTCGAGCTCCTCGAAGCTCAGCTTCAGCTTGCCGGGCAGCGCCTCGTCGCTGGCGCTCCCCGCGGGCGACGCGCTCCCGTCGCGATCCTCTCCCTCGCACTGCATCGCCTGCACGGAGCGAAACAAAACACAGGGAGAGAGCTAATCGACCGCCGGGAGAACACGCAGGCTGTACAGCGGGCTTCGTGGGGGGGTAGTTAACATCTCCTCGCCACCGTGGCGCCCCGGGCACCGTCCGTGTGCTACCGCGAGTGGTTCCCGTTCTGCGGCGTCGTTGCGTCTCACCATGCTTCGGCGTGCCTCCAGGAGGGCGCGCTTCTCCTCTTCCAGCCGCTCGCGAGCCTCCTCCAGCCTCCGCCGCTCCTCCTGAGCAGCAGCAACAACAACAACAACAATGGAGAAGAAGAATCACGCACACGCATGGGTTACGGGCACGCACGAAGAGCCTGCGCTATTGGAAGTGTAAACTATGGATGTGTTGCTATTAATCATTACTCCTATTATTAATTAGCCCATTACAAAGGGGGGGGGGGGGGAGGGGGTGTGTTCTTCGCGTCATCGACAGATCTGACGAGCTTTGGGACGTTGCCGGCAGGTGAACTTGGGGGGGGGGGGGGGGGAGGCACCTGCTGGCGATGTCGTTCCACCTCCTCGAAGCTCAGCCGCAGCTTGCCCGGCCGGAGCTCCGACGAGGCCTCCGACGAGACGCTCTCCACCTCGTCACCGTCGTCGTCGATGAAGCTGTCGCCTCCTTCTCCCTGCCGGGGGGGGACCGGGTCGGGGGGGGGGGCAGGGGGGGGGCACACCGTGCCGATGTTCGCTCAGTCGGCCGCACTGCTAGAAGGGGCCCGGGTTCAACTTCTGACTCGGGCGCCCATGCTGTGTGGAACTGTATGTCCCCCCCCCCCCCTGCCCCATTCTGCACAGTGTGTGAGTGAGTGAGTGGAGTTTGTATGTTCTCGCTCATTAGTTGAGATCACCAGCCCCCCCACCCACCCTCCCTCCCCGGGAATGAGGAGTGTGGGGTATAGGCAGAGGAGGGGCGGCGAGATGTTAACTACCTCGCCTGGTATTCGGGAGGTCGTGAGTTCGATCCCAACCCTGACGCCTGCTGCTGTATATTTGGAGTTTGTGTGCCTCTCTCTCATCATCATCATCATCACGGTGGCTAGGAGATGTTAACTACCTCGCCTGGTATACAGGAGGTCGTGGGTTCGATCCCAACCCTGACACCTGCTGTATATTTTGCGTTTGCGGTGTCTCCTCCTCCCCGTGGATATTTATAGCCGCAAAATACTCCACGGGGAGTATTTTGCGGCTATAAATATCCACGCGAGCGATCGTTTGTGGCCAGGTCGCTTCTGAAAAAGAGTTACATAGCAGCTCAGTGTGGGGGCGGAGCCTTTCCCTGGTAAAAATACCAAATATTAAAGAAACAGCGTAGCGCGGTGGCGGTCGGCGGCACCTCGTGCTTCCTGGCCTCCAGGTACGCTCGCCGCTCCTCGTCGAGCCGCCGGCGCGCCTCCTCCTCGGTGCGCCGCCGCTCCTCCTCACGGCGCTGGCGCTCCAGCTCCTCGAAGCTCAGCTGCAGCTTGCCCGGCACCGCCAGCGCCGTCTTCTCCGCTTGCGCCCTCGCGGTCGCCTCCTCCTCCTCCTCGTCCTACGCGGCAGGGTGGGCGGCGAACGGTGAACAACGGCGGGCGACGTCGGCAGTTCACGCGCGCGAACTGCCGTTGGTTTACGCGGCAATTTCTAAATTTTATTTCGCCCATTTCGTCTTTGGCGGCTGTAATTCGTTTGTGGTCGTGCTACGACGAGATAAAAAAAAAATTAAAAAAAAACATCGATTTGCGTCCGCGCATCTGTGACCCAAGTCACTCTCGCAAAAGAATGTGAACGCCGTCCAGGTCCTCTCCGAGTTCCCAGCTGGTCACACGGAAACCGACTTTGATGCCCGACCTAAGCAGGGGCATTACACACGAAGATCCCCCGTTGGGGGGAAAGTGCTGTGAGCGAGCAGCACCACCTACATAGGCCGGCATGGCGCACATAGAGGGGAGTGGGATGGCCCAGCACCACGCCAGGCCACCTTTATATGTATAGCAGTCATTCGTGATAATGCTGTACATTAATTATATATAAGGGCCAAATCAGATTATTTACATTTAAAAAAATCAAGCAAGTGAAATTCTTCAAAATTTTTAAATTAACAAATAAAATCAATAAACGGCACCAAAACAAATGAAGCACAAACAACAACAACAACAACAACAACAAATCCTATCGCAACAGAGACACGAGTCCATTGAGTCTCAACATGCCAGGCCACAATCGCAACTTCTCACACTCAAGCCGAGAAAACCTTCACAGGAGGGAGGCCGTGGTGGAGTCGCGGCCAAACGCGTTACGACGACTTTACACCAATCGGTCGAATGTCCAAAATGCGATTTCCAATTTTTCTAAGCTCATGCCCGGATGAAAAAAAGGGCCTTTAGTTCGGATTTCAATGAGACTGCGATGGAGTCTATTTGACGGATGTGGAGTGGGAGAGTATACTGAAAGCCGAATGCACAAAGGCATGCAAACTAAACTTCAAACTATTACAATTTCACCAGCTAAGGCCGCACCCCGAGCGATACAGCTCGTTTTCAGACGTCACCTGGCCATCGCAAATTACAGCTCAATGAAGTGGAAGTCAACATCTCGCCACCATGGCGCCCCGGGCGCGTCGAGTGTGCGGGCGTGCGGACGAGGGAGCGAGCGAGGGTGAGGAGGGAGGAGCCGCGGGGGCCGTCACCATGGCCAGGTACGAGCGGCGCTTCGACTCGCGGAACGAGCGGCGGTTCTCCTCGTAGCGCAGCTTCTTCTCCTCCTCCTTCCTGCGCAGCGCCTCCTCGTCCTCGGCGCGCTTCAGGCTCTCGAAGTTGACGCTCAGCTTGCCCGGCGTCTTGTTCACTTCAGCCGCCGCCACCGGTGCCGCCGAGTCGGCATCGGCACCAACGCCGCTGCCGCCGCCCTGCTCCTGCGTGGCGGGAGCAGTGACGCGGAGCGTGAGCGGTGACACGGAGCGTGAGCGGTGACACGGAGCGTGAGCGGTGACGCGGAGCGTGAGCGGTGACATGGGGCGGTGACACGGAGTGTGAGCGGTGACGCGGAGCGTGAGCGGTGACACGGGGCGGTGACACGGAGCGAGAGCGGTGACACGGAGCATGGGGGAGGGGGGGGGACCCCAGCTCAACTCTAACCCTTGACCCTAACCCCCAACTCCAAACCCTGACCCCCAACTCCAAACCCTAACCCCCAACTTCAAACCCTGACCCTAACCCCAATTAGCAGCTTCCTCAGCGCACCGGTATGTTGGAACGTAAACCCACAACATTCACAATTCGAGTAGCTGCGATGATCACAACGACAACCAGCTTCATCGGGCGATTTGCCAGAATTGTTAAGAACCAGCAGAACCAGAAGCAGCAGCAGCAGCAGCAGAACTCCACCACTGCACTCCACCTCGCTAACCCCTAACCCTTACTCTGGGGGGGGGGGGGGGGGGGGTGGGGGGGGGGGGCGGGGGGCAGTCGTCACCCTGACCTCGGCGAGCTTCTTGGCGAGCTCCTTCTGCATCTTCTTCTTCTCCATCTGGTCCTGCTCGTGGCGCCGCCGCCGCTCCTCCTCGGCACGCTTGCGCTCGTCCTCGGCGCGCGCCTTCTCCATCTCGGCGAACTTCCCCTTCACCGTGCCTGCGCGCCGAGGGGAGGGGGGGGGGGGAGGGCGTGCGGTGATTCTCTTCTCTTTGTTTTCGGTTTTGTCATTTGTGAGCATCAACACGGGAGTGGGGGGGGGGCGTAGGGAGAGTTCCCTTTCGCACAGTATGTAGCCACCTGCGCTAATCGCACGTGCGGGAGGAAGGACAACTAAACACACACAAGATGTTCTACCTCAATGCTCAGTTGTTCTCCCTCTATGAGCTTCTATTCCATGCCACGTCTCATCCCTCGTCACACCTCCCTATCCTTAGAAATCCATCGACTTACGAAGAGACTCATAGACTCAGAGAGAGATCGCGACTGCACGCGCCGCTCACCGGACAGCTTGGGAACGAACGTCTTCTTCACCTGCGCCGGCTTGGCCTCCTCCTCGTCATCGGACGCGAGCAACTGCTTCAGCTGCAACGACGGTGACGATAACGGCGATGAGGACAACGATGATGATGAGGACGATGATGACGACGGCGATGATAATGACGACGATGATGACGGCAATGATGGTAGCGACAATCATGATGACAATGATGAAGATGACGACGATAACGATGACGGTAATAACACAAACGATGATGATAACGACGATTATGGTGACAATGAGGATGATGATGACGACATCAAAGATGTTCAGCGCAGTCATAACTGTTGAGCATCTGTCAACTGATACACACACACGTACACACATACCTACACACACAAAGACAAGGATCCCCCGTGTAGCCTTAACAGACTGTAGGGGCAAGTGCTGTAGGCGAGTAGCAGCACCTATGAAGGCCGGCACGGCACACGAGGGGATGGGTGGCAAATACCACGCCCGGCCGCCTTTGTCTCCCCAGTGGCGATGTTTACACATTGCACCAGGTACTCATTTGAGACTGAGTCGACCTAGGGGAGGCCCAGGACCAGTTCAGGTCACTGGTGCTGGTGGCCGTGAGCGAGAATTGAACCCAGGTCACCAGGTTCGTACCGCAGGGCACTAACCACTACACTACCGCTCGCCACACACCTACACACACATGCACACGCACACACCTCCACACACACACACACACGCACCTACAATAAAGACAAAGATCCCCCGCATAACCTTAACCGACTGTTGCGGCAAGTGCTGTTAGAGAGCACCTATAAACGGACGGTCACACGATGCACACACACACACACACCTACACACACGCACACACAAACACACAAACACACGCACACAAAGATCAAAGACAAAGATCCCCCATATAGCCTTAACAGACTGTAGGGGCAAGTGCTGTTAGCGAGCACCTATTAAGGCTGGAACGGTACACGAGGGGGTGGGTGGCCAACACCACGCCCGACCGCCTTAGTCTCCCCAGTGGCAATGTTTTTATCCACCGCACCAGGTACTCATTTGAGGCTGAGTCGACCTAGGGGAGGCCCAGGACCGGTTCAGATAATCGTCACTGGTGTTGGCCGTGAGCGGGAATCGAACCCGGGTCGCCAGCTTCATAGCGCAGCGCGCTAACCGCTACACTACTGCTCCCCACACGTACACACACACTCGTACACACACACACACGCACGTACACACACACACACGCACACACGCACACACGCACACACACACGCACACGTACACACACACGCACACACAGACACACACACACACACGCGCACACACACACACACACGCGCACACACACACACACGCACACGTACACACACACACACGCACACACACACACACACGCACACACACACACACACGCACCTCCTGCTTGCGCCGGTTGAGCTCCTTCTCACGACGGAACTGCTCGTTGCGCTTCTGCCGCTCGTCGTTGCAGCGGCGCCGCGAGCGGTCCTCCCTCACCTGCCGGTTCTGCTCGAAGCGGCTCACCACGTCGCCCTCGCCGTCGTCGCCCGTCGACAGCCGCGGGACGTACGTCCTCTGCACCGGCTTCCCCGTCGACGCCAGGATCCGCTGGGGGAGAGCGTCGGGGGAGCGCGGAAGGATAGGCGGATGAATGAATGGATGGGATGGAGCGGATGGATGAATCGGATTGATGGGTTGGGATAGGATGGGATTAGTTGGGATGAGATGGATACGATGGATGGGATCGGTTGGATCAAATGTATGGGATGGGATGGATGGGATGAGATAGGATGGGATGGGGTGGATCGAATGGATGGATTGGTTGGATCAAATGTATGGGATGGATCGGATGGATGGGATGAGAGAGCATTGGAAGGCACAGGAAGGAATTGCCAATAAGAATCGCCGCTGGCTTCCAAATTCTCGCTAACAATACGAATAGAAAATAATGACAATCACATAATTATATTATAACATGACAATTTGGAATCTAGAATATAATCACATATCATTTAACAATAACATATATTCTTTCATTGAAAAAATTAAACGGCCAAGGTGCAGCCCCGCAATTGCTCGCTCAGAAGGGGGACAAACTCTCCGGGCAGTTCCACGGAGATCCCCTCGACCGGAAGGGGGGGGGTCCTTTGGCCTACTCTGCCACGCCAGCCAGGGAGAGCGGCCATCCCTTCCCATCGACTCGCCGTGTGGCGTACGCATTCACACCGCCGGCTGGACCAGGCGCGGCGAGCAGAGATTTAAGAAACGTACCAGGAGGCGGGGGACACACGAAAACGGCGAACTCGAGACTGCCGACACTTAACGCCGCTTCCGGCAAAGCGGCATCCTGAAGGTTCGCCGACAGTCGCGACCTCACGATCAACTACTCAACATTGGCCCTGGAATTTAAAAATAAAACGATTCGAATGGCACGTTTGCCCACGTGTGACAACTTGAGCTTTGATTGGCACTGTCGCTGGCTGGTTGGAGGCGGAGGTGGTGGTGGGGGGGGGGGGGTTATAGTTCAAATGAATAAATCGACACGGCGAAAGCCACTGCAGATGCTGTGCCAAGCAGCGATTTGCTTTGGTCCTGGGGCCACCATCTCTGGCGGGCTTGGCGGCAGACGAAGCCATCGATTAATTTCATCCGCACTCGGATATCGTTGACTCAGGGTGGGGGGAGGAGGGAGGGGAGAAACGCCTCGTCGACGAAGACATTTTCGTCGTTCGTGTAATTTCGTTGGCGAACCGAACGGCAAGGCGTGAGTAGGTGTTGGGGGGGGGGGGGGGTGTGGGGGCGGGGGGTCACCTCTGCCTTGTGTGCCACTTCGGTCATGGTTGCGTCCACAAAATTCCCAACTCAGAGCGACGCGGCGGTGGCGGTGGCAGCGACGTCCGGGCTGCTAGTGACGATGTTCCGGCGAGAGCGCACCGGCACGGACGGTGGACGCACGCGGAAACGGACACTGGGACACGCAACGGACACACAAAGGACACGCGTCTCCGATTAGTGCGGTCGGCTACGTAAAACTCCAAGTATGCAGACGGCGTCAGGGTTGGGATCGATCCCACGACCGTCTGTGTACCAGGCAAGGTGGTTAACATCTCGCCACCATGGCGCCCGGCTTTTTCCGGGTGCTCTGGTTTCCTCCCACGTGAATAATCAACGCGACTTTCAGTAATTGGCTCAAAATATCTGAGCGCGGTTGGCTACGTACGGTTTCGAACGAAGTTCAGCATACAGACATACGTACGCAACAACGGGCACGGACGCACACAGAAATGGGCACGCAAACACGAGCAGAGCCACGGTGAGCAGGCCGAGAAGATCCTGCCGACACAGACGAGCGTGGAGACGAGTCGCCGACCACCAAGGACGATGGTTAAGAGGTCAGTCAAGAGGTCGATCGTTCTAAGATTGAGTCGAAAGACAATAAAAATATTTAAAAAATAAACTTTTTATTTTACCATGTAAGGGCCCACTGAGCTATGTAGCTCTACTTCGGAAATCGGCCTAGCCACCACAAATGACAGCTCGGCCGAAGTGGCTTATCACGCAAAAAATGTATAACGGCCGAATACTCTAAACGCATGATGTTGATAATAAATGTGGAGGGCAAAACCGGAGGACCCGGAGAAAAAACCACGCGACCACGGGGAGAGAGACACACGCCGATGTCACGGTCGGGATGGAACCCACAACGTCCTTCATACCAGGCGAGGTAGTTAACATCTCCTAGCTACCGTGATGATGATGAGAGAGAGACACGCACCAACCGCGTCCACTCTTGCACGCGATTAGCTGCTGTACCTATGTATGTTGAACGTCTTTCGCACCGTATGTAGCCACCTGCGCTAATCGCACGTGCGGGGGGAAGGACAACAAACTAAACACACACAAGATGTTCTACCTCCATGCTCAGTTGTTCTCCCTCTATGAGCTTCTATTCCATGCCACCTCTCATCCCTCGTCACACCTCCCTATCCTTAGAAATCCATCGACTTACGAAGAGGCTCATAGACTCAGATACTCTTGCATGGCCCATAGACTTACAGAGACTTCTGGATTCAGATACTCTTACATGGCCCATAGACTTACAGAGACTTCTGGATTCAGATACTCTTATATGGCCCATAGACTTACAGAGACTTCTGGATTCAGATACTCTTACATGGCCCATAGACTTAGAGACTTCTGGATTCAGATACTCTTACATGGCCATAGACTTACAAAGAGACTCAAACTCAGATACTCTTACATGGCCCATAGACTTACAGAGACTTCTGGATTCAGATACTCTTACATGGCCCATAGACTTACAGAGACTCATAGACTCAGATACTCTTACATGGCCGATAGACTTAGAGACTTGTAGATTCAGATACTCTTACATGGCCCATAGACTCGCATATCTTCTAAGCCAGAAGCCAGCACTATTGCATGGGGTGGGTCGGCTGGTTGGATATCCTCTCCCCACGAGTCGCTTTCACCGTCCTCACATCTCACTCCATCGCATCTCCCCTTCCGTCCCCCCCCCCCCCGTATCTCCCCCCACCCGCATCTCCCATGTCCCCCTCCTCCCTGTGTCCTGCACTGGTGGGCACCTCCACAGCACAGACTTGAGGGTCCCAGGTTAATGATTTAAACTCACATTGCAAGTTAGCTGTAAAAAAAATTAACTTTCAAATAATTTGTTCAATCTTCAATTGAAGGTTAATTTTTGAAACCGAGACCCAAAAGTGGGCTAAAACCAACACGAAACGTGTGACAAGAGACTGCAAAGATTCGAAACTCCAACAAATGACTGCCGAAAGAGATTCTGCTAAAACATTTTGACAGAATCTGCTAATAAGTGAACCGTAAGTGAGACAAATGTTCAATTACGACAGGCGGCTGTACCAACTAAACCTCTCTACCTCTTCCAACAGGCGATCTGTAGCGAGTACCCGACGTTGCAAACCTCCTCGCGAGAGGTTCGTCGAGAGAATAAAATTGCGAATCTCCTACCGCCGAGCGGCGAGAAGCGGAAACAAGACGGGCGAGGTCTAGCGACAAGCGATTTTTTCCAAAAATAAACCGCGCAACCGTTTTAGACGAGGCCATCTCGGCCGAAACACACAAAAAAAAGTACAAATCTTCTGCCGAGCCACGTGACACAAACGGCACAACGTTCCAACAAAGCGAGTTTTATTACAACGACAAACAATCCCGGCAAAGATAAACGCAGACTCTAATCGTCCGACACACGCCCGGCAAAAAGTTGGAACGAGACGAACCTTCAAGACAACCCTTCTCCCCGGACCGGTCGACACAGCTCCTTAGCCGAGCCCCCACAACTTGTCCCCAAAAAAATCTCCTCGCGGACGCGGCAACCCCCTGCTGACAGCACACCCGTCAATCGCCAACGATGGGGCACCGTCGGCGGGCAAGGGAGGAGCTGCTGCCACCGCCGCAGCCGTTGTCCTTGTCGTCGGCGCAGAGGAGGGCCCCCGTGCGTGGTCGCGTGCGCGAGCGCCGGCGGGTGGTTTATTTCAGCTGCCCGACCGCATGGCTCTGGAATGCCTCCGCGGGTCCAGCTAAAAATACATTCGGCCAAAGTTGCCGGGGGCCCACTGGCGCTGCCGCTACCGTCGGTCTGGGGGAGGAGGTGGGGACGTGGGGACGTGGGGGTTGGGGGCAATGATCGCCGGTGACGGAGGGCGCTAGGTGCGGCGTGGGCCACGTAAGATCCACGAATAGGAAGAGGAGTAATTCCCCTGCCCACCACCGCCACCCGTAGTAAACACCCTCGTGCCAGTGGCGAAGGGCGCAGCCCCGCAACTGGCTGACCCACGCCTCTGCTGGCAGAAGTGGGCCCCCCACCCCCCACCACCCCTCCCCCTAGTGGAGGCATAATTAAAGCTTTCGTGACTGCAGGAATTCATATTCTTTGGGTCTTTCGGTAAAGTCACGTATATAGGTTCAGAAAAAATAACACCCACTTTTCCCGATGACGACCGCTTGCGTTGCGATCGAAACGTCGTAGTTTTTTGTTATTTTCTTTGGACCCATCTGCGCGACTTTACCGAAAGACCCAAACAATAGGTCACACTAAACATAACGAATCCTAAATGGGATCTCGGCCTGGCTCTACGAGCCTTAGATACTAACTCGAAAGCACCAAAATGAACACAGTTGCCTTGGTCTGGTTCCAGTGAGCCCGAGCTGTTGAAACTGAACCTGACTACATTTTTTGGCCTACTCTTCCACAATGGCCATACAACCACACTGGACCCCCGCCACACGTGACCTGCCGATCGACTAACCATCCGTGCTGCTGGTGATGTTAACTACCTCGCCTGGTATACAGGAGGTCGTGGGTTCGATCCCGACCCTGACGCCTGCTGTATATTTGGAGTGTTCGTCTCTCTCCCTGTGGTTGCGTGGATTTTTCTCCGGCTCCTCCGGTTTTTCCCTCGACATTTACAATCGACATCACGCGTTCACAGAATTTGGCTGCTTTACATGTCCGGGTGATGATGATGATGATAATCAGCCCACTTCGTTGTGAGCTATCCTACATTCGTGGTGGCCAGGTCACTTCTGAAAAAGAGCTACATAGTTTAGTGGGTCCTTGCCTGGTAATTATAAAAAAAACTAAAATCGAATAGAAATACATTATTAAGGGCCCTGAAAAGTGACCGAGGTTCGTTTATTCAAGGGAGAGGAGTGGAAGGAGTGTGGGCGGGGGGGGGGGGGGGACACAGTGGTGAGAACAAATGTTAAAAGCGAGGGGCTTCCAGAGGTTTCCTCAAGGGAAGACGAGCAAAAAGGCACCAGTGTAAACAAGCTAAATAAAGTAATTAATTAAACATCACTGAACACTCAATTGTGCAGGAGACTTAGTTTGGCTTCTTGAGACTTCCATAGACATTAACTCTGAACGCCGTGAATCCTAAGGGACCTCTTAGTCTGCCTCTCATGCGCCTTAGATATTCACACTTAACACTGTGAATCCTGCAGGAGCTTTAGTCTGGCTCTGAGCCTTAGATATTCACACAACACTGAATCCTACAGGAGCTTTAGTCTGGCTCTGAGCCTTAGATATTCACACTTAACACTGTGAATCCTACAGGAGCTTTAGTCTGCCTCTTATTACCCTTAGATATTCACACTTAACACTGTGAATCCTACAGGAGCTTTAGTCTGGCTCTGAGCCTTAGATATTCACACTTAACACTGTGAATCCTACAGGAGCTTTAGTCTGGCTCTATGAGCCTTAGATATTCACACTTAACACTGTGAATCTTACAGGAGTTTTAGTCTGGCTCTATGAGCCTAAGGGTTTAACGCTAAAGCCAATGAGTCTTAGAGGAACTCTTTGTCTGGCCATACGAGCGTTGTATTATTAACGCCGAGAACTCTCAATGTAGCCGAGTCGCCGTAATGACCACGTGGGAATCGAACTCAGGCCGCCGGGTTCGTAACGCAGTGCGCTTCTTTGAAATCATAACTATCATCAGCCAGGGTCAATCAGCCAAGACAAAAGCAAAAGATCCCCGTGTAGCTTACACAGACTATTGGGGTAAGTGCTGTTAGCGTGCTGTTAGCGTGCACCTATGAAGGCTGGCACAGTACACGAGGGGGTGGGTTGCCAGCACCACGCCCGACTGCCTTTGTCTCCCTTACGGCGATGTTTACACACCGCACCAGGTACTCATCCGAGGCCGAGTTAACTTTGCGGAGGCCCAGCACCGGTTCAGATAATCGTCACTTGTGTTTACATTGAGCGGGAGTCGAACTCGGGCCGCGGGGGGGGGGGGGGGGGGGGGGCTTCGTAGCGCGGTGTGCTAACCACTACGCCGTGGACGCGTGGATTTGTCTCCGGGTCCTCCGGTTTTTTCCCCTCCACATCTAGAAGCATGTGCCAAGAGGATTTGGCTGCTGCTATCAATTTGCACGCGACAAGCCACTTCGTTGCGCTAT